GGACCAGATCTACGTGCAGAAAACCCACAGAGAGAGACGGGCCAGATTTCCTCTTACAGGCAAGCGTCCGGCCTGTCTTTTGGAGCAAGAGGTGCAGCATTACATCCACACGATGATGCGGTCCACCACACACCACGTTACCACCACCATGACGTTACCGCGTTCCCTTTTTCCTCTTTTTCTTTTTCTTTTTCTTTCTTCTTCTTCTTTTTTCTCTCTCCCCCCTTCTTCCTTGTCTGCCGTAGGTATAACAGGGGTCTTGTTAGGGTGTATGCATGAGGAGAGAAGTAGCAATAATACTCCGTACAGATTACAGATTACAGATTACAGATGGTTTAGTTATTCGTAGTACTATATCGGTTGGCATTGTACACATATACACGTACATACACATGGCTCCTATACGTCAGCTACGACGGCGACGACGACGATGACGACTTTTTCCTGCTTCTACGAGAAGTCATACACGATAAAAGAGGGGGGGGGCTCTTGTAGGGATATGACCGGCTAGACCTGCTAGTGAGTGAGCGGCACGGTACACTTGGAGTTGATGGCATGAAAACGTCAGGTGTCTGGTGAGAGGGGAGCAGAGAGAGGGGGGGGAGCACAGAAGAGAGAGAGAATAGAGAGAGAGAGAATAGAGAGAGAGAATAGAGTGAGAGAGAGAGAATAGAGAGAGAGAGAGAATAGAGAGAGAGATGAGCCTTATGCGGACGACATGTCACCTCCGGGGAACGAGAACACACATGTTCCGTACAGCCCAATCCAGATCGTAGGAAAAGACGTAGACAGCCAACCGTCAAGACGGAAAACCCGACGAGAGAGAGAGAGAGAGAGAGAGAGGAATGAATTTTTTTTTCCCCCTTTACATTGACAACCAAAAAGACGCACAACTCTCCACCCAGCATGGGAAAGTAGTAAAAGACCGAGGGCAGAGGGAAAACCCAGCCCCCGTATAAACTGTACATGAAGCACCACTATCATATTTATGCAGCGTAGTCATCACCGTCACCACCACTGCTCCGTACCAGCTCTCACGTCAACTTGGTAAGAAGGAGAAGAGAGGGGGACGAGGGACGAGGAAATCCCGTTGCAACGTCTACAGAGTACATCACACGCCACATGTATCGAGTATTCCCTGCATGGGGTCTGGGTGGATTGGAGAGAATGACAGGATAGTATGAGATATGATGGGGGGGATATCGTAATAGATAACACATATGAACCATGAACTATCGAGAAGAACACGATAGAAGCGTCATGATGATTTGATGATTCGGATGGCCGAGGTTGAGAAGAAAGCGAGACCGAGAAATATCCGTCCTATCAGCAGTCCCCACGCGGCTTGGGCGTTTGAGAAAGAGGGAGAGAGGAGAGAGAGAGAAAAGAAGCAGGAGAAAAAGAAGAAGAAAAAGAAGGATGACAATAGGATCCATACTGTACCGTTCAGTGAAAAAGAGGGTCCCGAGAGACCAGAGACACTTGGTCGGTAAAAGGCGAGAGGCATCATCATGATGAAGTAGGGGAAGAGTGGATTGATGGGTTGATGGGTTGAACATCCACGGTAGACTCGGACAATAATCTGGCCATGTTTTAGTATTATTCCTATCATCATTATCATCATTACCATCATCATCGTTTATTATCATTATTATTATTATTATTATTATTATTACTATTGAATCATTACAAGTTTTAGTTTTTTAAGCTCTTCTCCCCCCCCCTCATCACCAACACATCCCCCGGTCGTGTTATCTACTATCACGTATATCAACTGTTGCGTTATTGCATGACCAACTTTACAAAGTACGACCTGTACAGAGAGGTGATGCTAGCAGTTGACAATACTCGGTAGTCTTTTTTTTTTAAAAAAAAAAAAAAAGAAAAAGAAAAGAAAAGAAAAGAGAGGGAGAGAAACATAATGATAATTTTACGATTAAAATATAAAAAACGGAACTCGTAAAAAAAAAAAAAAAACACGTTAGTATTACCAACTACCAAATGTATGGAGAACAGGTACTCACACCTCTCACATCATAAGAGCACCGCCACTGATCGACATGGATCCTCCCTATATTATACCCAGTAATCTAATCTGTCTTCTACCTATAGCCTGCACAGGTAGAGAGGCGTATACACGTTACATGCTCCTGTAATCGGTACGTATATACGGAGTATACATCGACAATATATCAGTACAGATACAGATGCAATATTCACCACTACCGCTACCACGGTCCCCACCGTCCAACAAACGGTCCCACGCCCACCCAACATCGTAACATCGTAACATCGTAACACTCCTCCTCCTCCCCTTCACTATAAGTAAGTATAACGGTGGATCGCCAGAATAGACCATGTTACGTCGGCAGTGTACCGGGTCCAAAAAAAAAAAAAAAAAAAAAAAGAGAGAATGTGTGAGATGCTCCGTATGGATGACATGTACCCTATTTGGAGCCTTTTCTCATCCCCGTCTGAATCTCTGCTACCATCTTCTTTTGGTCTTCGTCCACTCTCATTGCCAGAACCCATCTTCTTACTCCCTCCACTATTACGTACGATCATACAGCAATGCAGTACAGGCAGACTACATCGTCTTCCACCACAACACAGTCGCCGAGTCACATGTATCGTGTCTATTCATCCAGAGCCTGGCCATTCCAATCACCCAAAGTCATACCATACGCATGTATTTAATATTTCTTCATATTGTTCTCCTGTTATGTACATGACCTATAGTCTACCAAATATCCCATCAGAAAAGGAAAACCTCCCCAAAATAAACAAGGGGGAAAAAAGCAAGCAAATGGTATATCCGCCCGTTGTAAAAAAAAATAAGGATAGAAAAAAGAGAGAGAGAAAATAAAGTACCTGAAGAGAGGCGAGAAGAGAATAAGATATATAGATGTAATGAAAAAAACGCCTGAAAATGCTCTTTTGCTGCCCAACGGATTCCCTCCTCACCCTTTTCCTAGTAGAATATACATTATGAACTAACGCCTGGCCCGTTTTCTTTCTCTCCCTTCATAGAGAGGATCAGACAAGAAGGAAAGGAAAAAAAGAAAAAAAAAAAAGTTGAAGACGGATATCAACCTTGTCGTGTTTGACGCGTGCTGGTGCGCATGAGATGGATGGTGTATATATGTGCGTGTGTATGCGTGTGTGTGTACAGAATGTGATGCTTCTTTCAGACGACTTCGGAGCTAGGCTTCAAGCAAGACCAGCCTTGACCTCGACGCTGTGGCAGCCGCGCTCGTGACGCTTCATGTTGCTGCGCACGCTAAAGGCCTTGCCGCACCCGGCCTGGGAGCACTTGAACGGCTTCTCGCCCGTGTGAGAGTGGCTGTGGATGCGCAGGCTGCTGGGCCGGCTGAAGGCCTTGTTGCACGTCTGGCAGATGTACCTGTCCTGGCTCTGCGGGAAGAGGTGTCCCGGCGCCGGGTTGAGGTAGTGGTGGTGCTGCCACGAGATGGCGCCCGGCGACGTGGCCGCCGACGGCGACGGGGCGGCGGCCGGAGCCGCCACGGGGACGCTGGCGGCAGGTGCAGGAGGGAACGACTGCGGCAGGGGGCGCTGATATGCCAGACCGGGTCCCGGACGCGGTGCCGCCGTCTGGGGGGGAAAGTAGCTGCCGGTCTGCTGTTGGGGGTGGGGAGACGCGGGCGCGGCCATCGACGGGCTGCGGCGGTCGTGGTGCTGCACGGGGTGCGAGTAGTGGCGCTGGTGGTGGTGGTGCTGGTGGTGAGCATCCGACTCGAGCGGAGGCGTCGTCTCGTGGTGGTATCCCGCCGGTGCCGAGGCGTTGTGGTGGTGGTGAGGAACGTAGCGAGCGGCAGCGGCAGCGGGAGCCGACTTCTGGCACGGAGGTGAGCTGGACTCGAGAGAGGTGTCGGTGCTCATCGGCGGCGAGGGAGGGAAGCCCCGAGGGTGGTGGGGAAATGCCGAGGCGTATCCCGAGCTAGGACGGCTCTCCGACCTCCTTCCTGCGGATAGGCGTCGGGGGGAGCGAGGCTGAGGCTGAGGCTGAGGCTGGGAGACCATGTGAGGAGGGTGCTCGTGCGTGGGGGACCCAGCATCAGCCAGACCGATGAGGTTGGAGATGGAAGGAAGCGTGCACTTTGTGTGTTCCATCGGTGGCGACGGAGGAGGGCCGCTGTAGACGGGGCGGCCTATCTGGTAGTGGGTAGGGTACGGGTGGGATATCGCCATGGTTGCCATTGTGTATATATGCCTATGTCGCCGAGATGTCGTGTGTGTGTGTGTGTGTGCGTGAGTATTTCTTTCAAGTCAGGTATGACTAAAGTTGCCTCTGTTTTTTTTCTTGGTCTTCCGCCTCGAGAATGTCGATGGTGATTAAGTGATGGTTGAATATCTTGAGCTCGGGAGATATAGAAAGAAGGTAAGAGTGAGATAGAGAGAGGTAAGGTAGGATTTCAATTCATATCGTAGATTGAAGTTTGGGAGGAGGGGGGGGGGGCACCTGGCAAGTTTAAGTATGTCCTCAACTCGGGGTGTCCCTCCCCCCCCGTAGGTGTGTGATGTGAGAGGAGTAGATACCCCCCCCCCAAACGTGGATGGACCGGGTCCTGGCTTGTGTATCTCCTCCCCACCAGAGAGGAAGAGAGAAGGGAAAGAGACGTACCATAATATCAGATCTGTAAATGTCACCCCTTGATCCCTGCGACGCCGCTGTCATGAGAGAGAGATGGAGGGGGCGTGCGTATGACGGTGGTGGTATTTTAGGGGGGGGGGTGAGGGGTGAGGGGTGTGGGTACCGTAAATCCAGGGATTTTGCTTCGGCAGGTGCAAGCGATAGCTAGTCTCTGAACTTCTCTCCGACTTCTCTGTCTCCCGCGTTACGGAGCAAGTACGGAGCAATTGCCTAGTACGCTGGCGGATCTGGCCTTTGCCCCCATGATACAGAACATTGAAGGGGGGAGGGCGTGAACGGCGGGGGATATTGAGGGTGTGCATATTTTTGAACCAACAACTGCAACAATATTCAAGTACACGCACACACACACACACACACACACACACACACACACACACATACTCGTACTCACGCAACACACACACATACACACGCACGCCCTCTTCTCCTGTCAAGCCTGGCATTCAAATTATTCACCCTCCCAGCCGTACCGTACTGTACGACCTATTACTCCTTACAGAAGTCAACTTGATTGTTACCGGTGGTTCTCAACTCATCAGGTCATCAGGGGGTGTTGGTGCGTGTTGCCGGTTGGTGGACGGTGCGAAGCCTGCGTAGACCACTCGATGATGTCAACATGTATTTCGGTTATCCAGCCTTTTCCGGTGCATTCTGTTTTCTATCGTACGCTTTCTACAGCTTTTTTTGTACATGTTCAGTCAGTAGTGATGGTGGTGGTGGTAATGGTGGTGGTGGTGGTGGTAGTAGTAGTAGTAGTAGTAGTAGTAGTAGTAGTAGTAGTAGTAGTAGTAGTAGTAGTAGTAGTAGTAGTAGTAGTAGTAGTGGTAGTAGTACTCGTAATAGGCGTCCTAAACCATGCCCTACGAGTGAGTAGTCGCTCATCTTTTTCTTATTTTTCGGTCCAAAGACTGAACTTGCCGCAAAAGAAGAAGAGTGGAAGAAGAAAAGGTTAGTGCGACTTTCTGCGACAGGCAATAACTCAACACGCACACACACACGGAGAGAGAGAGCGCGAGAGAGAGTGAGAGAGATTTGAGTGTCACAAGAATAAAGCCATGTGTTGACTTTTCCTCCTCCCCCCTCTATCTGACCGGTGATCCCACAACCATGTGTCCGTGTCCGTAGCAGTAGCAACTACTCGTACTAGTAGTACTAGCAACCCTCCCCCTCCAATCGCCCCTGTCATTATTCATTAATACGAAGTAGAGTGAGAGGGGAAGAGAAGAAAAAAAAGGGATCCGGTGTTTGATCCATTTGACGCTTGCGATGAATGACATCTCGACTGCCATGGCATCGCTCCCACGCCACCACCCCGTCATCACCTTGGAATTGGGTCCCGGGATGGAATGAGAGCATTCCATCGAAAAATTCTACGCTCCATCGGTCCTGATCAGTACCGTATCATCTACAGTAACCAGACAGACGAGACAGACGAGACAGACTGGCCCCGTTGGTACTGCTCCTGCTCCTCCTGCTCCTCCTGCTGCTGCTGCTGCTGCTGCTGTTGCGGTTGCCGCCGACGTATGCAACTCGTAATGCTCCGTAGCCCATTTTCTAAAACGTGCCGATCTTTGCTGGGACCCAAGGTAAACAAACCATCCAATAGTCGGTAGCTGAGTATGCAAAAGCAAGAGACTGCAATAGAGGCAAAGAGAGGAAAAGGGGGGCGGAGGCTTGGAAGGTTGTGTGGGGCAAGCCACCAGCATCAACATCAACCCCTCCCCCCGGTAAACGCCGCCGATGGATCGCCACGGCATGGTCATTGGCTCCTTCTGCATTCTTGCTTCTCCTTCTGCTCCTGCTTCTTGCTTCTGCTTCTGCTTATGCGTCTGCATCTTCATCTGCATCTGTTGCTGTTGCTGTTGCTGTTGCTGTTGCTGTTGCTGTTGCTGTTGCTGTTGCTGTTGCTGTTGCTGCAGTGCTTCTGAACAAGTGACAGGCCGCGTCTGCTCAGAGGCAAAGTAGAGCAGCAATCATGACAGACACCCCCCTCCCTAGATTCAACCATGCTTCTCTATGCATGCGACACAGAGGATTGTCCACGAGTAGTAGTATGCATGTCGCTCCTCGCGACATGACATTGTTGCCCAGCTAAGCAAGACACACACGACCCTTCAATTTTTATTTTTATTTTCTGGTCAGGACCGTCCGACGCCCTCTGCATCGGGACCTCTAGATTTTTCAGGGAAACGCTCCAGAGAGATCCCTCTCTTATTTTCTTCGCCTATTGTTGTATGCAGTAATAATAAAAGACATCCATTTTAACACACACACACACACACGTGCGCGGAAAAGAATCCGCCTCCACTTCGGAACTGTACTGAGTAACCCGCATCCCAGGAAAAAAAAGAAAAAAGAAAAAAAATCTGCCCATCGAAACGCAACTCCACTCCGATGCAGGGCCGCCTATCCTGATCCCCGACCGACCAAACCCCGGTGTATTAGTCTTTCGGCGCCTGCAGATTCTCTGGCACCGGTCTCCCAGCTTAGACATGGGGGGGGAGGGGAGGAGGAGGAGGAGGAGGAGGAGGAGGAGGAGGAGTGATGACTTGACACCCTTGCCATAAGTTTCTGAGCGATGGCCGTCAGAGACTAAGATCCCTCTTCTCTTCTGTACAGGTAGAGCTGTATTATATAGGTATGATAGGTGGAATTCGCACGTTACGACTCACGAGCGATACTCTTGTCGTAATAATTCTCTCAAATCACTTGTACGAGAAATCGTACCAAATAGTAATAACTAATAACTAGAGTCAGAGAGAGCGGATAGGTCCTGCTGCTCTGTACTCGTACCGATCATACATAACTCCTAGCGTTTCCTAGCAATTTGACCATGTCTCACCGTGAGGCAAGAGAGCAAGGACCCACTCCCCGGGGGAATGTGCCGTAATGTGATAGACGGAAGGAGGAGTGAGTGTACCCTTTGTAGAGAGTTGATCAGCAAAACCCTCTTTTTTTTCCCTCTTTTTTTTTTTCTTTTTCTTTCTTTTTCGTCCCCTTCTTCTCCTCTCTTTTCGTCCACCCAAAACTGACAAACTACAAGACTGTGCTGTGCGTCTGACAGGCCGCCAATGCATTTTAAATGAAACCTTGGTCCCGTTGGTCCTTGACGTCAGTAATATTAACCTCGGTGCTCGCCCCGATCACCGCACCTGTCCGTTCCACCGCAACACTGCAGCAGTCCAGATGGAAATTTTAGACTCGCGCCGTAATAAAACGGCGCGGTGAGCGTCGGCCACAACTGTGTTTTTGCATCCCTAGTACTGGTAGCTAGTGATGCCTATAGTAGGACGCAGCATAATAGTCCGCACGACTATCACGTCGCAATACTCTCCGTAGGTTTTGCATGCAGTATCAATACGTATAGTGCCACTCGTAGTGTAGTATCTACTCCGTACCTATATGGTGTAGGTAGTATTATTGCTACCTGCATCTGCTTCCGTTTACTCGTAACTTTTGGCTGCTGTCCGACCCATCATCCCGTACTCCTCCTAGTTTCACTCACAAATCAGTCCTGCCAATCAGCCATGACGGAAGGCGGTGATCTATCATGCTTAGAGTGTCATAATACCGGCTGTCTGGTATTAGAATGGCGCCGAGTGTGCCTCCGTCGCATGTTGCATTTCGTTGCCGTCAACTTGCTGTGATAATACCACGGACGTGCGGATATTACGACTCACACGTCACACCTCACGCCTCACGCCTCACGCCTCACGCCTCACGCCTCACGCCTCACGCCTCACGCCTCACGGCCTCACGGCCTCACGGCCTCCCAGAGCGGTATGTTCGTGACTGTGGCTGTGACTGTGGCAGATGTGGTATTAGGCAGCATGACAAACCCATCTCCGTGCGCATACGGGCACGAGCACCAAACCTGACGTATTCCAGAATAAGTCTGCTCCGCATGATACTCCGTAATTCTTGGTAATTCCGGAGCATCAGACTGCACTGCCCTGGATTTCCTCTTCTCGACGCTTGTCCCGCCAATGCTAACAGACATGACAGTAATACGTCCGGTCGAGCGATGGGGAACAAACCGGATGATTCCGCCATCGTGGTCGTAAACGTGTCGCGGCCTGCGGATACCCTGGGCCTGGTACGTACATGCGGTGGTGTATTATGTACAGATTATACCTGGTGGTGTCCATACTGCCGAGCAATACTCCGTGCAGCGTCGTGGTGTCAGTACGGTGCAGTATACAGGTACTGTATGCTAGCTACTCCTAGCACGGCGGGGCATAATTGTCAGGATCGTAAGGGGTGGGGCTGTTGGCTCAGTGGCAGAGTGCTAGCACACTCAAGGGCAAGTACAGGGGGATCCATGGTAACCATGGCCCATGGCCAATTGCCAAGTACGTATGTACTTTGTCTTGGTCCTCTTTGGTTACCGATAATCCCATCCATCGGCAGATTGACCTATATAGGGCTAGGTCATGGTTCACCCCCCTCACTCAAGTCTCGAGTCGCCCGTTGGTATTGCGGCGTATTGTTGGGGGAGGATCGCCTTGAAAACCTATGGATCCGAATATCACCC